TATAGTGGTATTACTTGCTCTTAAGGAAGTATCTGAGAATGTTCAAAGGATTCTGCAGGTGAGATGTTCCAAACATAAGGTCTTTCCCTAAAAAGCAACTGAAAATGTATATAATTATAGAACCACACTTGTGTGAATGAAGCAGGGAAAAGGTTCTCTGGCAACGATTAACTGTTCACTCTCATGGAAGAAGTAAGAATAAAATTGTGAGGGGTGAGGATAAAATGGAGGGTGAGCTAAGGGCTATTCACTTAATCCCTTATTCCACAAATATTGAGTTCCTACCTCATGCTGCACAGTTGGTTCTATATTGTACACTCTTGTGTCTAAGTAGTTGTTCAAAGAAAACAGCGTAATCAAATAAAGCAATTAATTTTTACAAGGAATTTTCCAATAAATCAGGTATTGCTCTAGTCTGCACCATCTCTGTAACATCCTCTCGAAGTATAAGCATTGTGTTTCCTGTAGAGGAAAAGATCTGAACTGACCTCTTTACTTCCTTACGACAGATTTTTTAGAAATCCTGTCCCTCACCTCTATTTCAAATATACAAACATCATAGAGAAAAAGAAAGCAACTAATAATGCTCCAAAATATAAGAAAGAGTTGAAAGACCTGGGAACAAGAAATAAATAAAATCGAAGCAGAGACATCTTCTAAACACGTCTTTTTATTTTGTTTTATCTACCAAGTTAAGTCCCTTGTCTGGGCTATCTCTGCACCTGGCAACTCTTCTACTGCTATGCTTAGCACATGGAGTGAATAAACTTTCTATCTACTTAGCTCCTTCTCCCACTAGACACGGGCTGTTGGAGAGCAAGAGCCAGGTCTGAATTATTGCCAGATACCCTGCCGTAGAGTAAAGGCTGGCCTATGGAGGCAGGCAAATGGTTATCTAGGTCTGTAAGCTAGAGAACACATTCAAAGGGTTATCAAGGAATTGACTGCCTAAAACAGACCTTAGGAACTAGAATCTGTAGCTAGAAAACTCAAGAGGCAGGAATGGGAGAACTGCCAGGACGGGAAGGCAAACAAAGTGGACAAGCTTGGATAAATCCCTAAAACAGGAACTATTCTTAACAGACTGTGTGAAGGAAAAAGATGAGATGTTGGGATGCTATCAAAAGCATAAGAAAATGGGTTTGCAATTATGTGTTGTACTTTTATATTTACCTTTGTCAATAACATCTCCAGTATCTGAAACTTGAGACTTCTGAATGATCCTCACCAATCCCTCTTCTTGCCCAACAGTCTCAATTCCTTTCTGGTTTCTCCCTAATCCTTTCCTAGCATTTTATTCTCACTGTTGTCACTTTCATTTAGGTCCCCATTACTTTTCACTAGAGTAGTATTCTCCTAAGTCAATTATCTGATTCTAGTACCTTAAAAACTGTTCTCTGGTCTGAGACTATCTTCCTGAAGTCTGGCTCTGATTACATAATTCCTGATTCGGTTTCAGTAATCTTCAATGGCCCTCTATGTGCAAAGGTCTTCAGAATAATTCTTAGTCCTTAGTACCATGGGGTGAATAAAATGGCAGAGTGCACCATGAATGGGTAATGAAGTCAGATAAAACTAAGTTTTGAAAACTGAATCTACCACTTATTAGCAATGTGACTACACAAGTCACTTTTACCTCTCTAAGGCTCAGATTTCCAGAGACAGAGAATGATAGCCAAGGCAATTAAAAGAGAATGTGCCTAACCCAGTGCTGGATACATGACCAGGACTCTGTATCTTTCCTCCTATTTTGCCACCCAGACGAGCATTTCAGCTCTGATGCTCCTCTTACCCAGTCCTGGACACTGCTCCACAATGCTGTCCTCTATTCTTCCACACACCTCTGATCATAGTCTTAACATATATCACTTATCCTATTCTTCTTGAATCTTACTTAATACAAGAATATTAGGTATAATCATTGTTTTGAGTTATGAAGTCATTTCTCCCCTTCTAGATTAAAAACACCTCAGCAACAGAGGTCTTATCTTCTTTATTTTATCTGCCATAGCATATAGCATTATGTGTTGCATATAATAGGAACTCTGTAATTTTTCATGATTTATCCAAATTTTAAAATTAAAAATTCCTTTTTCTTTAGGAATCAAGAGTTACAAGCAGAGCAGAGAATTATCACTCTATAAATATAGTGTATTCCCCTAGCAGCCAATACAGCCCTTGAAATAGTGTTCCCTAAATTGTGTTGATTAGTTGGTGTATCAGAGACTGAACACCTACTACAGTGAATACCATCTTCAAAAATGAGTGATTTTAGTCAAAAAAGACTTGGGCAAAAGATAGTAATATCTACTTAAATCCATCATTACTACTGGGAAAAATGCCCCAAGATCAGTTCTAATGGTATTCAACACTAAATTATTCTGCTCCTGAATATATGTTTTAATTTGAATAGGTTTGTATTCTGTCTCTACAGAAACTAAAACCTAAGAGAATGAGCTTAAATTGCAAGCAGAAATGTACAATGACTTTCAGGACGCTTTAGGTGAATTGCATTCAATGAAAAAAATTGTTTCCCATTTTATTTTTGGTAAATAATATTATAAGCTAATCTTTGAGAAGATTAAAAATTAATAACAATCACACTGCTTATTTTTTAACTGTTTAACTTGAAAGTAAAATAACCCAAAGTCAAATTTCTGTAACAGTATTACTGATGTAACTTTTAATAGTTGTTGCTGCTCATTCTTTAAAATACATGTCAAAATGGTTAAGATCATGAACTGTTGTCAGAGAGATCCCCGGTTAAATTTCCTATAGCTTTAGACCTCTACCAAATTACTTAACCTCCAAATCTCCATTCCCTTACCTATAATATGAAGATAATAGGAAAATCTATCTGAAGGGTTGTGAATGAAATGATTAAATGGTACTTATTATAAAGCACTGTGTAGGGCACAAAGTGAGCCCAAGGTACATTGGGAACTATAATCATCATCATCATCATCATTACATAAGTTTACTTGGTTGTAATTATTTTGAATTCGGTTCTACATTATATACATCACAAAAATATACGTTATATCGGCAGTACATATCATTCTCAGCTACCTTTTAAAGAGTTTTTAGAAAGCAGTCTTCTTTCAGTGGAGATTCCAAGGCTATTTTATTACAGCTGGAGAGGCTCTAGCCAAGTTGCCGTCCTCATACTGTCTCGGGCTCTGGAGGCTTCGTCACGGACCCGCTCAGCCGGGTCGGACCGGCGGGAGCCGCTCGGGTCGCAGGCCTGGGGCGGGCGCCGCCTCCCGGACGGGGCTGCGCGGCGGGCCTCGTCCAAAGCCGCCAGCGCCGCCCCGCCCGCTCGGCGAGGATGAGTGACTGCGACAACAGGTGCAGCGCGACGTCCGCGGCTGCTCGGGAGCCCCCGGTTGGCGCGTCAGGCCCCGAGAGTCACTTTGACTCTAGAAAGTGCCCCTCCTCGCCTTGCACCAGCCTTGAGAAGTCGCCCCTCAACCGGCGTCTCGCGCCTTAGTAAAGCCTGTGGGCACGTCAACGTCTAGAAACCCACCAGTCCCTGAGGCAGACTTTTCTACAAGAGAGGGAAAGGCGTGCAGTGCATGGAGCGCTGCATAACCTTTCACTCTCTCCTCCCCAGCCGTCCGAAAGCAGGCGAGAGTGGCCCCAGAAGAGAGCCCTCGGTCCGCACACCCCACGCCCGCCCTTACTTGCTGCATGCACGTTCTTTCCCTGAGACTGCTCAACCCGGCGACCACTGGCCACAGATGAAACACGCACGCACGCACGCACGCGCCCCTCCTCGGCTTGCGGCGCCCGCCCACACCGCCGCCCGCCGCCCGCCGCGACATCGGCTGCTCCACACCGCCCCACCCACACCCCCGCGGGTGGCAGGTTCAAGACCCCGGGTCCGAGCCTGCGCCGCTACAGCTGCCACTGCCGCCGTCGCCGCCACGGGGAGTCTCCGTCGGGAAACGTGGTGTTGCTTCCTTGGAATGAAGGTGCTTTCAAAGTCCAGGTTTCTCTTCCTTTCTCCCAACTTCTGAACAGTGTAGTGGAAGATGGAGACAAGAGTCCGAGGAGGTGACTACTGCAGTCAGGGCCCCAGGCCCTGAGGTACAGGGGAAAAGGAGCAACGTGGACTCCGTCCGTGAAGAGCTAAAAGAGCAAAGTCTAGTGCCCAAGTGCCCACTAGTTTCATGGGAAGAACGTGGACAGGGTGTCCACTGACCTCTGCAAAGGGTGCCTGCCTGCAGGCCCCATCTAGTTGTGTTGTAGGGCCGGGAACGTGGAGCCATCGGACCTGGACTGAGTGTAGGCAGACGCGGGACCTCGGAAACGGCCGAGAGGTATAGGGAGGCGGTGGGTGGCGGGGCCTTGTGCACCAGGCGGAGCTAGTCTAAGGGGGACAGCTTTCCCGCAGAAACCGGGCTCGGCTGCGTCTTTGACGCTCATTCCACCGCAAGAAGTTGCCAGGGCAGCTGACACCTTTTCTCCCCCACTGATGAGTGAAAACTGCGAGGCCTGAGAGACCCGCTGGGGGTTGGGGGATTAGGGGCAGGGGTGCAGGTCGGATTCAGGCCCCATCGCCTGGCGTGCTCGCCGTAGCCGGCAGAGGCTGGCTGTCGTGGGAGGGCGGAAACGGAATAGATGGAAGAAGCCGCGCGCTGCGCCCACGCTCGCCGGCAGCCAATCAGCGGGCCGCGCGAGGACCATGGGGGTGGCTGAGCACGAGGTCGACGCCTGGGCCGGTGCCGTTGAGGGTTTCCGCCACTACCGCTGGCGGGTTAGCAGGACAAAATTTCAGGCTGGCTGGCCTTCTTTTCCCTCCCGCACTTTGGTGGGGAGGGGGTGGAACCTCGTGTCACTGCCCAAGTTCGTGATGGCCCGAGAGAACCCGAGGAAGTTGTCGCCACGGCCATTTCCCCCAGCGCTTTGACTTACTGGCATCCAAGGGGAAGGAGCGCCGAGGCCATGACTGCGACGGTTAGCCTGCCCTCTTCCTGTGGTCTTCCCAGGCCAACTAGATGGTGGATTTTGAGGTTAATTTTCCAGGGAAGGAGGCAGTGAGGGCACATTACTTTGGAGGAAATTTTTAAATAAACTCTGTAGTGCTAGATATAACTCAGTTAAGGAAGCTAAGGACCCTCACTTCTAACCCAATAACACTTACGTAGGTGCTTTTCATACATTTGGAAAATTATTTAACTCAGTGCATCACTAAGAAACCTAGATGTGGCACCTACCTGGGCCTTGTTATTGCTAACAGAATATTTTCTAGGCTATTACATTGTGTTCTTCAACCCACAGTGTAATGGTTGGCATGTTGTGAGCAGGAATAAATAATTCATTTATTCATTTGTTTAACCAATATTTATTGAATTATATTCTATATATACCGTCTCTACTTTGGATGCTGCAGTGAACAAAACAGGCAAAATCCCTGTCCTCATGAATGTTACGTTATAATGAAAAGAGACAATAAGCCTAAAAACTAAACTATATAATATGTTGGAAAGTGACAAGTGGTTAAGTAGAAAACCAAAGCTGTTGGAACAGACAGAGCAGGAGCCTTAGAAACTGAAGGATGAAATGAATGAATTGTAAAAAAGTTTGTTTTCTCAGTATTGCTTAACTAGTTTCTCAACATTGGAAATAGAGCACTCTGTTCACTTAGGTACATGTCATCCCTCTCAATGAAAAATACTGAAGTTGACTTTTATTTGAACAAATGTGAGAACAAGTAAGTTCATCTATTGAATTTTTTAAGATAATTTCTTGAAGACTGACCAAAAATTTCTACAACGTAGGTAATTTCTACACTCTAACAAACAGGCAAAGAGACGTTTTATCTACCAGACTGGTTATATTCTAACAATACATATCCACAGTTGAAATAAAACCTCACATCCCAGAATCATCCATTCCAGGCACTACTTCCTGTGGTAAAGTGGCTAAAGTTACAGATAACTTCCAAATACCCAGACAGGATATTGTAAGATTGATTCTCAACTTTTAATTGGGAACTATAATATAGCAGTTATTAAATGTGATGACTTTTTGTGGTTTAATAAATGTTTTTATGAACTCTTTTATTAGGGAGTATGTAATTTTGCCCCGTAAGACTAGATAAGCAATAGAGTCTGTAAGGTTCAGCCTGTGTAACCCTATATAGTCACCACTAGCCTAGTTATTTCTCTCTACGTCTTGCAGAGTTTAAGTATTATGGTTTTATTAGCCAATGAAGTGAAAGCAAAGCAAATCTGAAAAAGAACAACTCCATTATCTAAGTTGGAAATTCATTTTCATGTATTCATTTCTCAAAGAATAGAAATTATGAGCTTCAAGTTTTTTGAAACACTCATTTAGTATATCAGACAGTCTCAGAAGTCTGTTTATGTTCCCAGAAAGAATAATTAGCAAGTTCGTGAACTGGTTTCGCTTCAAAATTCTATTCTCAGGTCTTGTTTTTTTCATCTGTACCTTAAGAGTCTACTGTCTTGCCATTGTACAAAGGCTTATATGTTAATATACACTTATTAAAATCTCAGGACCCCTGACTCAAGAGTTGTGAACATATGAATATGTACTGAGCTCAATTCTTTGGTATAAGAACTTATACCTATATGTTATAGATGTGCATATATTTTTTAAATGAAATCAGTTCAATCTTTATAAAGTACATTTTAAAGTTTTACTTTAGAGCTGAAAAACAGTGAATTTGAATGTCATAGTTTATTAACTTGTCAATACCCTTCAACCAAGGGCTATCAGGAACACACCTATACTTTTAAATAAAGTTGAGTGTGTTGAATTGTTGCAACATGAAAGAACATACACCATGAGGCCTTCCCAGTAAGAGCGTATTAGAACTTGTAGAATTTAGGTTTGTGTTAAGCAAGTTTAATATTCATCATAAATATTTATAATATTTAAATAGTATATTTAATAATTATTAACATAAGTACATTTAAGTAATAGCTTTAATATTTTTAAGGTTTTCTTTGTAGTGGAGTAGATTCTACATTTCCTATATTTTTGTTGCTCCAAAGAGTTTTTAGCTCTAATTATAATCTTCAGAATATTAGAATAAAGTTGAAGTCTAAAATACTACAATTTTGTCTAAATGATTCACCTTTTTGAAAGATGTTTTCAGCCTGCATCAAAACTTTCATCCAGTGCTAAAAGATTAAAAGAATTTTATTTTGCAGCAAACATCAGATCAGACACAAACAAACTCATTATCTCCATCCCCCTATCCTGTGTCACCTGTGCCTTTGAATAACCCAACAAGTGCCCCAAGATATGGAACAGTGATCCCTAATCGCATCTTTGTAGGAGGAATTGATTTTAAGGTACCTATTTACGCATGCAATATGGTGTATTTTTTGCATTGGAAGTTGTTTTATTTCTCAGAAACTGTTTCTTTGTGCAACTGTGAAAATAGCATATTTACTATTTGCATAATGATTAATAGGTTTCAGATTATCTTAATATAAAGAACCTTTGCAACAGCAGTGTAGGTTAAATAGAGCATATGTAGTTGTCCAATTTCACATACAAGCAAACTGAGGATCACTGACATATCTGTAGGCTCTTAGCAACTTAGTGACAGACTAGAATCCTAGTATTCTGACTCATAGTTCCATATTTTTTATTTCACCTTAACACACTACTTATACTTTCTTGCATAGTACTCCAGTAGCCCAAATAATGAGTGATTATAATTTTCAAAAGAAGACTGAATTAGAAAAACACAAACACAAATCTTAGTCCTATGGATATGAAATCCTGCCTTTATATCAACTTTTATCTCCAGTTCCTGAGCAATCTTCTAAACTTCCATCTTTAGCAAATTGCTTTCTGTCACCTGATTCAGAATTTGACCACCAAAAAAAGGACTCAGTCCTTATCAGAATAAAGCATCTTAACAGTAATATATTTTAAATAATGTAATCAGCCCATTTCACTCTTCCAGAGAGACATGGTTTGTGAGATGTTTTGTAGCACCCCAAAACAGGATGAGGTAGTAGCAAACACCTCCAGGGAAGGCACGCGTGGATATGTTAAGTGGGATACCCTTACTTCCAAATGGATATATAGAAGGATTTCCAAGCTTCTGTACTACATATTGGAAATTACAGAAATAGTAGTTGTCCTTCTTGATAAAAAAAAATCCTTCTGCCATTAGGGTATGATATTTGTCAGGTATAACTCATGATTTCCCTATAATCCTTCACAATTTGGATGGAATTACTTTCATGCTGCTTAAGATAAATGCGCTTAGTGTATTTGTCAGAACAATAAATCTTAAGCAAGTATGTAATTGGTTCACTAAAAATAAAAATTATTTCTTACGAAATGCTTCGTTTTTAAAAGATTTTGTTACACTAGTGGCTGACCATAAAAATATTCAAGTTGAATATTCTTGTTTAGAATTTATATGACAATATATTAGTATATTTTCAAAATATACTAAAAATCAATCAATATATCAAAAGTAAATCATCAATACATGTAATAATTTGTACAGCTAGGTTATTCTAGGTTCCTGAAACCTATGAGCTACATTATGAACTTTGGGGGCCATTGTTACAATGCAGTCACAGCTTTAAGGTAATGCTAGTGTTCCCTCCTTTATGCCTTTTCCAAAACCAAAGACAAATGCCAACAAGGAAATGGTTTACTGTAACAGAAAGTTTTTTAAAACTCTCTTTTTAGAAGCCTATAGCCCAGTCGCTCTCAGTATTTAATCATCCTGACTTTCTCCTTACTTTTCAACAAAGAAGTAGAGCTGCAAAATTGATCTAGTGGTTCTTCTACCAGAGAATAACTTGTAATATGTTCTCAAATCTTTAAAATAGAAATACTTATTCTGGCATTGATTTCATTTTAAGTTTATTCAAATACAAAGCATTCATTTATTGATTAACTCATTATTTGTCATCATCTGGTTCAGCAGGCTTTAGGTTACCAACTAAACACCATTATTGTATACAAGTAGTGAGGTACCAGTGGAACTCAGCAGGCATAGCTGCGCTGCTAGGCATGTCTTTTCCTATGTATATAAAGAAATTTTTTTCTAGGTATATTTAAAGTTCCACTTGGGGGGCAAACAATTATAGCTGAACCAGAAAATGAAATTGCAGTGAATGTAATGTGAATACTCTAGGAAAAGGTAATGAGTTTGCTGTGAAACTATTTCAGATATGTCCAAACCATCTTTGCAGACATCTTGTACATTATAGTCTAATAATTACTCAAATTTTTATTTTGAATATCATCTTATCTGTATGTAGCTGAAATGTGTATTGAGTACAGCTGAAGTTTCTAAAAATGTTAAATCTTGTAGCCACTTTATCGTTAATCACAAATTGAGTTCAAATACTTTTGGAAGTGTCCTTTTCGTAATATCTTACTCTTCCTAGAGATCATGCTGATTAAAATAGTGACTGATGTAGGCCAATGTAACCTTGTTCCACTGCCATAACTGTGGACCTCCTTGAGCCACAGAACCACTAGTAGTATGCCCTTAATGTAGTTATAGCTATGCTAATTAAAATTATTTTTTTAACTGGTCAATAAGAATTTCTTTAAATAATAAGCTTTCTTTATAGTTTTAAAACAATTCAGCTTAAATTTTTATTGGTATGTGATCTTTTAACAACATAGTTACTGCATAAAGCATTTATGTTGATTTTAATAACCTTGTGGTTTCATCCAGTTTCTATGCTTAGAGGCATTCTTATATTCCTATTATTATTTATTTATAACCTTTTCTGTCTCTAAAAAAAGCATGAGTTGATTCATCTTTTAGCCATTAAAATTTTTTGTTATTTATTTTTATGCCATTAGACAAATGAAAATGATTTAAGAAAATTTTTTGCCCAATATGGGTCTGTAAAAGAAGTGAAGATTGTAAATGACAGAGCTGGAGTGTCCAAAAGGTTAGTATCACTATAGATAGTATAAAAATTAACAATTGTATTTTTATGGGATTGCTAGGTTTTGTATGCTTACTTTTATTCCATTTTTTAAAAAGAAAACTTTATGCCTCCTTTTCCCTCTTACCTTTTGATCTCCTATTTCATGTGTGTGTGTGTGTGTATTCTGGAGGAAGGGGGCCATTTAATATTCTTTAATTTGTTGGGAAGTTATCCTTGCATTGGGTTGAGGGATCATTCAGTGTTAGGTAGAAAGCACTTAATGTGGAGTAGCTAAAAAACCAGAACATAAAGGAATGAGATACATTTGGAATTGTATGCTACTTTAGACTAGAGAGCACTTTATTTAAAAAAAGCTGACACAAAGGAATGTCTGTAGGTTATGGCTCAGAGACCTAATTAGGGGACTCATCTGAGAAACACAACTCTAATGAGAATGATTTTTAATTGCCAAATCAAGGAAAATTAAAATTTAGAAGAAAACTGTAAGATTGATCTAGAAATATCTAATACCCTTAAAGCTGTTTCAGTGAATTGGTTTATACAAAAGCCAAACTTAAGAGAAGAAAAACATTAACTTACGTGGTAAACTCACTCAAGAAGTTTGACTGTAAAGTTAAGAGAAAATGGGTAAGGCAGTGAAGATCAGTGGAGAATTATATTTATTTTCTTGAAAGAGAGGTAAGACATACATATATAGGCATACAAGGGACATACATAGGCATACATATATAGGCAATGAGGTGGATAGAAAGTATTAGTGAGAAACTATATATAAATTTGACAGGCACTTTGGAAGAGATGGGATCCTGCAGAGAGACTATTTTTAAAAAATAAGATCCTTCCTCAGACTGACGAACAATATTAGGATGAAATGAGATTGTACCTCTTTTGTTTGTCTAATAGAATTTGCAGTATTTTGTTGATACCCATTTTTTTATCACTGAAAAACACAAATAGAAATGTAAACTGTATTTTATGCCTTTTCCACTGGGTGGTGTATGTGTGCTACCAAAAAATTTAGTCAGACTACCTTCCAAATCCTTGTTTAAGGTTTGGGCAAACAGAAAAATTCCTTTCTTAGGAAAAGAAATTTATATATAATACAGTAGTTATGAATGAAGAAAATAGTAGTCAAGATATTCAGTATTACCCTAAAGGGTTTCCTTAGGTTATCTAAATAGAAATTAAGCTCTGGAGGAGATATACTTTTTATTTCATTTCTTTTTGTCTACCTGTTTTGGCTTTTTAAACATGGTATATACATCATATGTTTGTATCTTGAACATTATGTGAATTTTACTCTGAAAATAACAGTTATATATGAAAAGAAGATACAGAGTTTGGGTTGTACATATTTTTAATTGATTTTGTTTGGGAAATATACTAACAATTGCATTATCAGTTTATATGTGCTACAGTAAATAATACATTTACCAATGTAAAAATTTTATTGTGTTGAAACTTTAAATTTTTTTAGTTTTCTTTCTACTTTTAATTCCTGTTTAAGCTAACCCTCTCTTATTTTAAAAGGAGATTATTGCTCTGTACTGAAATTTATTGCATCTTAATTGTAAGCCAGACATTAATCTTTCATGCTTTCCTGCTTTATATACAGCTCAGATCTGAAACTGTTTCAAGATTTGGGGTTTTTTTTTCTTTTAGTCCCCTAACTAGAAGAGGTGGTGACAGGTTAAGCTGTGACTGACTCTCATAAGTTTTGCATGCTGGCACACCATAGAAAAATGCCCACTATTACAGCGGCCCATTCTTTAAAAATAATTTTTTTTAATTTTATATAATTCTAGGGTAATGTTTAAGAAAGTAATTAATACATTTGTTTAGGTATGGTTTCGTCACTTTTGAAACACAAGAAGATGCACAAAAAATTTTACAAGAGGTGAGATCTTTTTGTGTATTTAACTTCATTTTTGGAACTAATTTCTTTGAAACTAATCCTTTCAGATATTTATTTTAATAGAGTTCCAATAAAATGATGAACTGCTAAAAATTTTTTTTGACTTATTTGTGTCTTAAGATTCACAGTGGTCTCCGAAAAAATTAAATTAAAAAAAGGACTGCAAAAAAACAAATTCCAAATCATTACTTGAGTATGATTGTGAACTTGTTATTTGCTTAAACTGAGAACTTGGGGATGTATCTTTTCTGCAGTATTAACAGCACATTGAATTCCTGAAAAACACTAGAAATATGGATTTCTTGAGTGAGGTTTTCATCATCTGTAATTATTTCCTTCCCATAAAAAACTTTACATAAACTGAAAGCACTCATAGTAAATGTCTGTAGATTGCAGTCCAGTGTAATAACTTTAAATTTGGCAAATGTAACATTTTATATTTTTAGGAAAAAGAATTTGAATTTCATAGTGTTAAATCATATGCAGCTGATTCTCATTATTCATAGTAGTTATGTTCTGTCAAGCCACTATGAACACTCAGCAAATACTGAACTGCTGCTCCTAGAAAAAATATAGGGCTAGGTTCCACAAGCTTGTGGTCACAATATTTTTATCAACCAGTCAATACAGAACTTTGTTTTGTGTGTTTCTGTTTAAAAATGTATATATTATTGATTCCTTAACATTGAACTCATGGCCAACAACACTATAACTCATACCTGTGTTAAGCATACCTAACACATATTGTTTTTGTGCTTAGAAACATTAATGAACACTTTAGCACTACACTTGAGAGCCCTTTTAAATAGCAAAATCACCAACATAATGCATAATAATGTGGCACTAAATAGAACACGAAAAGGACTGTTGTTACAGTGTAAGATGAAAGAAGGACCACCTTGTTTGACCTCACCTGGTACGATGTAGATCAGGTAACTCAAATTGTTCATCTCACTGTTCATGTCCGCTAATAACCACTAAATTGCCCAAGGTGCTGATTTGAGGGATTTAAATGAATGTTAGTGAATTAGCAGATTCCCAAATACAGATTCATAAAAAGAGGAATGACTGTATTTCAGATGAGGAATTAGGGTCAGAACATTGGAATCAAGATTCAGACCCAGACTTATTTAATTCAGAGACTTTGCCCTTTCTATTATACCTTGCTTTCAAAGAATACTATAGTCTGAATTTTAAAAATTGTTTCTCACTTGTTTTTCCTTATTGTTTTTATAAAAAATAGTGCCAAGATAATGACATACTTTTTCTTATTTTAGGCTGAAAAACTTAATTATCAGGATAAGAAACTGAAAATTGGTCCAGCAATAAGAAAACAACAAGTAGGGATCCCTCGTATGTATTAAGAACTAATGTATTTTCCAATATATTCTCATGGTGCTTCTTTGAAGTATCAGACTTTTGTAGAACTTCATTAAAATACCAGGTTTCTTTCATTTAACAAAGCTATTTTATCAAAGTTGATGATCAGGTGGATATTTCTTAACCACAATTAGTGTACATTAGATTTTGGGAAGGATAGGGAAAAATTTACATAAATGATATTTAGATATATTCCATACAGTTATATCTTTTTTTTTTAATTTTTAATCTACACTTACATAAAAGAAGACTCTTTTATGATAAAAATATAATCTAAAATTGCAAAAGTATATACAAGTAATTTAGAATTACTAATTAGAAAATTTTCTAATTGGAAAAATAATTTAAAATTAGAAATTTAAATTTAAAATACAGAAAGTGAACCGGTATCAGAAACTCTTATACTGTGAAACAACTACATGTGTCATAATTACCAGAAGGAACAATCCCTAGAACTTAGGAATTAGCTAAATTACGTACCTTCCTCAAATTTTTGTAATGCTTTCAACTCTACTCTTCTTTTTTATCTTACTCTTCCCATTTATTATATTAAGCATTTTTACAGTTAACTTTTTACGGAAATATTTATTAAAATCTCTAAAAGAAACTTCTAGAAGGAGAAACGTCACATACAGTTGGTAACTAAATTTTCTTATTCTTACATAGCTATGTACTAATGTCCACTGGGATGTTTAAAACATTAGTTATTATACACCTTTTAACAAGCTAATAGACTGGCTCATTTGAACTTCTGTTTTTGACTGAGAAGTTAACAGATTGGAAGTTTAATTTTGGCCTGGTATTTGTTCATTTAGAAGGTAACTGATGTGTTATCATTAGGTTGAGACTTTAAAATGGAATGCACTAAAAATGGCAGAATGCTGAATATTTTCAGATTACTATTGTTAGTTGCAAGAGTTAAGCTGTAACATGTAGTAACAGTTCTTTAACCCATTATGACCCACAAGTTGCTAAAATGAGAACATTAATCAGCACAATGCTGAATGCTTTCAAACAGATGAATGGTTAAGAGATATACAATGCAAGCAAGGGTCAGTGTTACAGGTTTTCATTTATTTCATTTAATTTTAACAACAACCAGTTGAGGTATTATTAGCTCTGTTTTTATAAATAGAAAATTCAGTCTTAGAAAGGTAAAGTCGTTGTTTTTGAAACATTTCTGCTGTAGTACCCCTAAATGTAGAGAAAAGTGAATCTTGGCATGTTATGGGTCTCAACCAGTGCAGCATACCAGAATTACAAATCTTCTTTAAAATCTCAAGGCTCATATAAAAACTTCATGTACAGTTTGTATTCTGTCCCATACTATTATATTGCTTATTTTTATATAAAAATGTTCCCTAAAAATAAGTATTTGATTAAAACTGATTCTGTAGGAAGATCATCATGTTCAGCCTGTGCTTTTTCCATTTCCTGGCATACCATCCCATGCCCAAATTTGAGAAGTATAGGGTTAAATAATTTAGCAAAATGATAGCATTAGCCTTCAAATCGAGGGCAGGTTGACCCCAAAGCTCTTTTTAGTTTTCTATGAAGAAATAATAAGTATTAAAAGTACATTTACAACATAAGAAAGTCTTGGTTTTTTTCCTCAAATCTACCACTTTCTTCCATCTCCGTTACCAATATTCTAGTCCCCACTACCCACTTGGTTTGCCTTGATTGCTAGAAGTGCCTCCTAACAGTTGTCCTTGAATCTAATCTTGCTACCTTCCAACCCATCATACACAAGGTAGTCAAAGTGATCTTTCACACATGCACATCTTATCATGTTATATTCTGTTTATTTTGAGCTTCTCTTCTGTTTTCTTTCTATTCATTAGCCATTTAGCCTTCTCTTAGTTCCAGAACGTACCATAACCCCCTGATCTATTTCCTTAATCTAGAATGGTCTTTGCCAGCCCATCCATTTTCTAAAGCTCAGCCCAAATGCTCCATATATATATATTTATATATATATATATAATTGAAATGGTCAGCATAATACCCTGTACTACCCGGTACTATACGACTTTTTCATGTATTTATCAAAATTGTACTTGATTAACTAATTGTGTAATTATTGTGTGACTATATTCCCATCCAGAACCTAACTCCTATGAAGAGACTATGGGATGTCCAATTTTTTTCTTTTTGGCTGTATCCCAGGGCCTAGTTCAATGCCTTGTAACAGTACCCAGTCTAAATTAATTTATTTAACAGATAAACCATGGTTCCTTGGTGATCTTTGGAGGGAAATCTGAATTGTGTGCAGAATTTTGTTTGGATGTATAGCTTTCTGAGAAAAGGATCCATGGCTTTCACCAGATTCTCAAAAAAATTGGATTAAGAGTCACTAAAATAAGCAGTAACAATACTAGATGAAATGAGTAAAAACATAAAAACTGAGAAGTAGCATACTATTTAAGTGATAGGCCAATGCTGCTTACAGTGTGGTTTGCAGCCAGCAACAGTTCACTTGGGATCTGTCAAAATGCAAATCCTCAGGCCCTATCCCAGACTTACTAAATCAAAATCTCTGGAGATGTGGCCCTGGAATTTGTATTCTAATAAACTGTCAATGGTGATTTTAATGTATGTTGAATTTTGATAAGCACTTGTATAGTGGAAGGAGGATTGCAAGTTCCAGTAATTTATATAATTTGACCTTGCTGGTCAAATACATAATCTAATCTGGTTTATATAAATGCTTAAAGTCTCCTCCTGACCAAAAAACATATATTTTTTTTTATCTTGGGGGGATAAACATACATAACCTGATCTGAGAAAAGAGATGGGGACCCAGATCTAGACACGTTAAAATTTATGGTTACGTTGTAACAGCAGCAGTTGTAGGAAAGGAAGACCAGAGAATAAAAGAGAATCATAGCATGACTGTGCTGCCGATAGTGCATCCAAAATATTTGTAGGATGGAAACTGTCTTCAGGCAAGTAAAATCTCCAACTTCAATGTTTCCATGATTTTTGACCTTTTACAAGTAAAAGGTCTTACTAAGGTCTTAGGAGCTTCACTATAGTGTCTTTAATCTTCAAGTAACTCTAAATTATATGTCATTTATATTTGTAAATATAATGACTATGCTGATAATAATCTAAATTGTTAAGCTTTCTGTTTCATTATACTGGTGTTAAAATCTGAAATGGTCAATTTTTAGTATTCCTTATTAATTTGCATCTTTTTCTTTTATTCACTTTAAGCTAATGAAAGCACTAGTGGCAGTGAATTCAAAAATGTGTATTTCAAAGGTAATTTAATATGTGGATTTTTTTTTAGAAAGCTTGTAATATCGAATTTTTACTATAGCTGTGTAGATATATTAAGCTAAACATTTTCCAATGTTCAAAAATTACATTTCTAAAGTTAAATCAATATTTCAAGTATTATTATTTAATTTTGTTTGCTTTAGGTTCCAGTATAATGCCAGCAGCTGGAACAATATATCTAACAACTTCAACTGGATATCCTTACACTTATCATAATGGGGTTGCTTACTTTCATACTCCAGAAGTAACTTCAGTCCCACCACCTTGGCCTGTAAGTAATTTCATTTTAGAAGAGTTTCTATCTATTACTGTCAAAATTAAAAAAAAAATTTTTTGATTTCTGAAATATTTCAACATCAGACAAGTACAAATAATAATATAACAGCCATGTAGCTGTACTCAAATTTAATAGATGTTAACATTTTGCCATATTTATTTAAGTTCTTTTATTAGGGGGCAATAAAATATGATAAATTCAGGTGAAGTCTCCTCACCCATTCTCTTACTCTCTTTTTCTCCTCAGAGGTAACCAGGATATCCTTTTTGCCCATTTTATATCCTTAAACAATATATTGTATTGCTTTGAGTGGTTTTTAACTACCATATAAATAATCTTTTTCCTATGCAGTATTATGTTTTGAGACTAAACCATGTTTATCCTAGTATATTTAGTTCACTTATTTTAATATTGTATAATATGTCATCATATGAGTGTATATTCCCTATGGATGGGCATTTAAAGTTTTTTTCACCTCAAGACTACATACAATGAACATCCAGATCTTATACGTATTGTATAAGAGTTTGTCTAGGAAAGTCATCTTCTAAGATTTTTGCTGTATGTCCTCCAAATTTTTTTGAAAAACTATGAATGCTGTCACTAATCTTTAAGTTGGTATCTGAAATTTATCATAAATCTAAATAATTTACACACATTATATTTAGATTTGTTTTAGATTTATTTTATAAAACTTTACAGGTATAGATTTCATTCAAGAATGGAAGATGTCCTATGTGTGGTGATAGATGTTAACTAGAATTACTGTGGTTATCATTTCACAATATATGCATACACTGAGTCAGGTATTGTATACCTGAAATAATATAACATGTCAATTATATCAATAATAAAAGTGGGAAATGTCTGCTTTACTATAACTCAGTTAGCAAAACTAGTAAAAAAAAACTTAGTTTCTACTAGAAAAATCTGACTTTAAGTTCAAATAAATGAGTTAATATATATCGTAGTGACCATGATGTAAATTAATTTTGTTCCCTGGATGTAATAAGGTACTATTCTCCCCTTTATGTTTCTTATACAAGTTCTTTTTGCTTTTCTATTTCTCAGGGGCATTGTCTTCTTGAATTGTCTATTTGTTTAATGCACTAGTGGAGTTTACATTTCAGAACAAAACATTATAGCAAGATGAAGAATGAATGAAAAGTGTGCCTTTCATAGTGAAGGAAAAGGATAATTGTGAAAGAGATTTTCAAAGAAGAAACGATAAAACACAGATACATTCACAGATAGATCAAATCAGGAAGGTGTACATAGGAAATAATGACCTGAAAATTAATATTCTTAAACCTAGTCATACCTGTGTACCACTGGAAATTTTTTGTATATGCCTGCCTTGGTGTAGGCTATATGTGTGGTAGTAGAATTTCATATTCATAGAGTATACACAGCTTTGACGAGATGTTGCCAAATAGCTTTCCAAAGTGTACCAGTTTACACTTTAGCTAACAGTTTATGAGCGCTACAGTTTCTCCCTAATCTGCCAACCCTTTAATTTCCGAGATTTTTATGTTTTTGCCAATATTATAAAATACTGTCTTGTTTTACTTTCTATTTGCCTAATCACTGGTAAGGTTGAACACATTTTCATATATTTATTGACATTCCAGTTTCTCCTATGATCTGCCTCTTCATTTCCCTAGTCTATTTTCCTATTGGGGTTACTTCTTTTTCTTGGGTTCATTATATGAATTTTGTGGGTTGCGTCTTCTGGTTTGTGGTGTGTCCTTTGTGGGTTGTGTCTTCTGATTTGTGGTGTGTCCTTTAGCTTTATGGGTTTTTGTGTGTGTGCCATACACGAGTTTTTTGTTGTAATGTTGACAGATGTTTTTGTTCATGGTTGTTAAAAAAACTTATTGCAGATATTCTCCAATTAAAAAAATACTGTAATGTTGCTGTTTTTCACATCTAGATGTTAAATCTGGAATTTATGTATTAACTAATCCATCGTCTTCCACTCCTTTGAAATGAATCCAGTCAAATGCCAAGTTTCCATGTTTGGGAGTCTCTTTCTGGTCTCTGTTTTGTTCCATTGGTATATTTATTTGCCCTGCTCAATTCTGTTTTATTCCTCTTGCTTTAAAATGAGTCTTAAAATCTGACAGGACAGTCCTCTCACTTTTTTCTTCAACAGTTTCTCATCTGTCCTTTAGTCTTTGCTTCTACAGATACAAACTTTATAATCCAGCTTGTTCAGTTCTGTGAAAAGCCTTTGTTGGATTTTTATTAGAATTACACTAAACATATAAATTAATTTGGGACATTTGGTATAATATATTTAGTCTTTGCTTCTATAAATACAAACTTTATAACCCAGCTTGTTCAGCTCTGTGAAAAGCCTTTGTTGGGTTTTAGTTAGAATTACACTAAATATATAGATTTATTTGGGACATTTGGTATATTGAATTTCCCCATCCATAAACATTTATTAGGTCTTCTTTTATTTCCATCTGTCAATAAAATTTTCTTTATAGGTTTCTTTAAATCACATTTCCTAATAGGTTGTGGCTGCGACACTTCCAACTTTTAGTTGTTGATACGTATCCAATCACTTATGTTTCAGTATACTTCTGTTTCTCAATTTTTTCCCTGAGTTCCTACACTAGCAATGTCTCTGCTACAGTGTTTATGCAATAACCACTGCGACCTTGTTCTTGAAAAAGGAAACAAGATCAGTGATTGACTGTTAAGCTTTATGTATTTATATATATAGTAGGTTTTGGAAGATACTCGTAACCCCAACTAGGGTTTCTTAGCATTATAGTAGACATTTGGGGCCAGATGTTTCTTTGTTGTGGAAAGCTGGCCTGTACATTAGAGGATATTGAGCAGTGTCTTAGCCTTCCCACATTTATGAAAACTGAAAATATTGCCAAACATTCCCTATGGGAGCGAAGTTGCATCTGGTTGAGAATTAGTGCCCTAAATCAATTAAAGAAGTTACTTTTTATTCTGTTTGTTAAGAGTTTTTATCATGAAAGGGTATTGAATTTTAACAAATGCTTTTTCTGTATCTACAAAGATAATCATTTTATTCCTATAATCTGTTACTATAGTAAATTACATTATTCTAATGTGAATCTGAGGTACAATTTTATTAGCATATGAAAATTGTGCAAAACTATATTTTCTTCAGTTTCGGGGGAAGATGAACATTAAAACAAACAAGACAATGTAAATTAGATCCCATGTTAGAATTTTAATTGCCATCATTAAAGCCTAATCTACCTATCTTGTAATATAACTTGCCTGTTTTATTAATAATTTGGTTTTAGATAACCTACTTTAGGGTTTAGTCTATTGCTTTGAATAATCAAGTGTTGCATGTGCTTTCTTCAAACAGAAAGCACTTGTTAAGTTTTTTGGATGATTAATTCATTTAAATGTCTAATAAAATAGAATTTGACAAATACATTGGTAAATATGTATTTTTTTAAATTAAATATTTAACAAGAATAGGATGTTGATTATTTGTAAATAGTGGGAAATCAGTGGCAAAGTCAGATATGATTATTTATTCAATTCTAAATTCTATGTAAACATTATCTATTGCTGGTCTCCATTATGGAAATAGGCAGCACCACCTTAAGTCCAGCTGCCATTTCTTCTAAAATACTTTCTTAGAACTGTATTCTCATAATTTTCGGACTAAAAGCAACTTTTCTGGTGGTCATTTTTGCATTATTATGGAAATGAAACCAAATGGAATAGAAATATTGTGATAGTTTAATGGATCTAAGTGGAATTGGTAATAATATCAGTAAGGGATAAAAATGACATTTCTGATCACAAACCATAAGTTTATGTAAATTGTTACAGTAAACAATTTAAGATGTAGGTAACAATTTGAAATAAATTTTATAATCAACTATTTTAAAGAATTTTGCCTAAGATAACTTTTCTTGTTTTCTTTTTCCTTATAGTCACGTTCTATATCTAATTCACCTGTGATGGTAGCGCAGCCCATTTGTCAGCAACCTGCGTATCACTACCAGGTAAACATTCAGTTACAATGAAAATCTTTGGTACCTTCAATCCTTTTTGGGATAACTTGCATTTATTCTTTCTCATACAAATACCCTAGTAATTAAAAACAAATAGTTAAGCCTTGATAGCAGTGTTTTTTTTTAATGAGGGAATTAAATAATGTCGTAGGAGAATATGGACTGTTTGCTTCCTTTTACCAAATGTAATTAGGTCAGTTTTGCTTCCCTAACATTTAATCTTAAAAGTCTTTAGAAATAATTCCCAAAGTAAGGTACAGGTATTAGGCTACAGGCTGGTTTTTTAATCTTACTGCTAACATTATGTCAGTTTCTTATTACTATATTTAATATAATGTAAATTTAAATAATTAATATATTGTGATTTATATTAAGAAAGCCTCTTGCAGTTAACCACTCTTTTCACTGATTCTTGTGGAAGATTGAAAAGAACTATAATCTAATACCACTTTGGTGTTTTATAAATAAAGTGTATTTGTTTACAAATTATCATATTTGTTTATGTATTGTCTGTGGCTGCTTTTGTATTACAGTGGCAGAGTTGAGTAAGTTGAAACAGATATTATAGCCTGCAAAGCTTAAAATATTTATCCTCCGGCTCTTCATAGAAAAAGTTTGCCAACATCTCTGGTCTGTAGCATTCACAAATAAAATCACATTCTTTCATACCTCTGGCATAAATAGTGGAAGAGAATTTGTTTCTTTTTTTTCTCTTCAAACTTTTAAAATAGACCCACATGAAATGTTAAGGCTACTAGAGTTCTTTTTAGTATTAGACTGGGCTTTGGAGGTGGGAGTGTTACTTATTTTTAATTCCATTACCATGCTGAATATAAAACGAATGTGTTTCCTTAACTTACTAAAAATGAAAGTGACTTAATGGCATTTATTTAAAATACGTATGTAGCATGACTTTTCCTAAGTTGCCTTAGAATTTTGGCAGACGTCCCAAAGACAGAACACTAGGCACCAGACCATTTAACATGACACACGAAATATTGTGAAACCAATTGTGGGACCCTTAGGTCATCGTCCACCTTGAGCACATATAAAGTAAGGATGATCAGGAGATTGATAGTGAGGCTTTGTTTAATGAGAGTTGTTAGAATGCCATGGCATTTCCCCTTCTCCTCAAACAAGTGAAAAGGACTTCAGAGAATGACTGAGAAAGCTAAATATTTGTCCTTGAAGTTTGTGAGATGGTACTGCTTGATCCTGACCTCTCCTAAACATGTCCAAAGAAGAAGCTGGAGTGATGTGTGGAGGCAGAGCCAGGAAAGAAGGCTCCAGTGGGAGTGTGTCTGCTTGCTGAGGTTTACATTTCCCAGGACCAAGATGTGAACCTCAGAAGAGACTCTCCGAAAAACATTAAAGTGACCCCAGTACACCTTACAGAAAGAATCTGTATGAGGAGACTTAGAATCAAGGGCTAGAATTGCAATCAGAAGTTCTCAGCAGGAAGCTCACCAAAGAATCTAGTGAAGTATCTAAATGGAGACTTTGGACTCTGTCACAGTCCCAAAAAAGTCCTCATTTTTACCAGTGGTGACAAAGAACACCTCTCCACAGTGTTTTCAAAATGGCAGGGGTAAGGAAGAATAAAATTGCTTTCTGCTTTTGAGTCTAGCTCCTTCTTCATTAATTGATTACATAGAGCTGTAGCTCACTTGACATAACTGTATTCTGAAAAGCTTCTAATAACTATTTAATTTTATACTTTGACTCTCGTTTTCTGCTTGACACAAATTATAAAACTGGAAGTATATTACCTAGATATACTCAGGAAAGATTTTGGTACCAATTTATAACAATATTTTGCAATATAAGAAATAATTTCACTTTACATATTTCTTTCCAGTTGTGTATTCATCATTATTCTGCCCTTAAAATTGCCACTCTGATAAGAATCTTGCTTTGCTTTTTCTTTTTACAAATTCTTAGATGGATAGCTTTATCAGTTTTTGTTAAGTCAGATGAGGTAATGCATGTATTAATCAGTTTATTTCAGATTTTGTATTGAAATAAGAAATTATACATTATTCTGCCTTTTTTAATATAGCATATAAAACAATACAGACTTCACATTATCTTGGTCATTATATAGTGATGTCATCCATCAGCAGTTGAAGTAGGCAGCACTAAATTTACAGTGATTTGATTTAGATGGTAGATCCATTGTGTCTTGTTCTCTTTTCTGTTTTTTTACTTTACTGTTTACTAATGAGAAAAAACTATTAACAATGGAAAATATGTAAAGAATAAACCATTTATTATGAGGAAATAAGACAACCAATTTAAGAAATAGTCTATCTTTTATATTGTCATATTACATTAAGTACCTTAAATAATTTGACCCTTTTTTAAAAATAGCTGTTTTATTTCGAAATAATTCACATACCATACAATTGAGTGGTTTTCACTAAATTCACAGTTGTGCAATCATACCACAATTAATTTTATCATTCTAATCACTCCACCAAGAAAACCTTGCTCATTAGCAGTCACTCCCTTTCTTACCCCCTTACTCCCAGCGCTAACCAACCAGCAGTCTACCCTCTGTTATTATGAGCTTATCCATTCTGGATGTTTCATGGTCTTTTGTGACTGGATTCTTTCACTTAGGATAATGTTTTCAAGGTTTATCCACGTTGTGGCACATATCAGTGCTTCATTCCTTTTGACAGCTGAATAATATTCTATTATATATTTTGTTTATCCATTTATCAGATAATGGACACTCAGATTGTTTCCACATTTTGTCTATCATTAAAAAATATCTCTATGAATATTCCTGTACAAGTTTTTGTATGGACATACGTTTTCATTTTTTTAGGTCTTCTACCTGGGAGTGGAATCGTTGAATCAAACAGTATCTCTCTGTTTAATTTTTTAAGAATCACACTGTTTTCCAAAAAGGCTGTACCATTTTACATTCCCACCAGCAGTTTTTATGAGGGTTCTAATTTCTCTACATCCTTGCCAACATTTACGTCTATCATTTTGATTAAAGCCATCTTGGTATCACATTGCTGTTTTTTGATTTCCATACCCAAGGTTAATGATGTTGATATCTTTTCATATGCTGCTGACCATTTTATATATATTCTCTGGAGAAATGTCTATCCATATCCTTGAGCTATTTTTAAATTTTTTTTTTAATTAAGGTATCATTGATATACACTCCTATGAAGGTTTCACATGAAAAACAATGTGGTTACTACATTCACCCTTAATATTGATCCAGGTTATTTTTATTATTGAGTTATAAGTGTTCTTTTATATTCTAGAAACAAGATCCTTATCAGATATATAATTTGTAAATATTTTTTCTCATCCTGTGAATTTATTTTCACTTCACTGATGGTGTCCTTTGCAGCACAAAAGTTTTTAATTTTGATGAAGTCCAACTATTTTTTCTTTCGTTGCTTTGTTGCTTGTGCTTTTGATGTCATAATTTTTTTAAATGCCTAGTTTAGTCACAAAGATTTACACCTGTTTTCATCTAAGAGTTTTATAGTTTTAGCTCTTATATTTAAGTCTTTGATCCATGTTGAGTTAATTTTTGTATATGGTTTGATGTGTAGAGGTCCAGCTTCTTTTGCATGTAGATATCAAGTTTTAATCCTAGTTTATAACATGGGTTTTGTATTATTTTTTCCTTCATTTTAGGTCCCTGCACAGTGTCTACCAGGCCAGTGGCAGTCGGGTGTTCCTCAGGTATTAACTTTTTCAATGTATTTTTGTGAAGACTGCTTGAATTTTAAAGTCATATTGAAGAGAACTAGATTTGAAACCTTCCTCTTCTATTTATTAATTGTGATACCTTTGGCAGTTCATTTAATCACTGTATTTCTCAGCTGTCTCATTTGCAAAATGGAGGTAATGATACTATACCTTTACAAGTTTCTTCGCATGATTTTTGGGAAGATCAAATGAGTTCATGTAAATGAAAGCATTTTAAATAAGTGGTGTATAAACGTGAAGAATTACTTCTTTTACTATTGGTATTGTGGTAAAATTTAGCATTTTTCTAGCTTAACTTCAGATTTTGCTTCAGTTTGACTTATTCTCCTAAATAAGTACTCCATCTCCTAACTTTTAAAATCAGGAGTTAACAAAGCTTGTTTAATGACATTTCCCCCTTCTATTGGAAGTCACAAAGTTGAAAATAGATGTATGTGCCAGTTTAAATACCATAGATTATATTATTACAAACTTTAATGGTGATATTAATATATAAGATCTGAGTTTATGAGTGTCTGAAGCATTAAGAACTTTTAGTACTTACACCGATAAAGTTCTTTAATGACATCTACACAACTTGAATTTATAACAACCCAGAGTTCCTTGTTAATTGGCAAATACCTCTGAAAAAGAACCTCTGGAAAATATGAAACAAGTATTTCTTTCATCTTTTGGGTAAGTCATTTGATTTAACTGAAATAACTAATCATATTTGAATTAGAAATACGTTTTGTATTTTAGTTTCCTGCCTCTTCTGCTCCTTTCTCATACCTGCAACCTTCTGAGTTTATTTATCAACCAGTGGAAATAGCACAAGATGGTGGCTATGTTCCTCCTCCACTGTCTCTGACGGAAGCTTCAGTTCCAGAGGTATGTATTAGTCTCAGAGTAATTTATCTCTAACTACCTCATCTGAACATACTTGTACAAGACCCTAATTGAAGCTGTGCATCTTACATTTTCTTGGATTAATTAACATTTCTTCACCTTTTTTATGTTTAGGGATGCTTCATCTTGGACTTCTTCACTAACTAGTTCTGAATCATTTCTCAAATCAACTGTACTCCACTAGGCTAATCACTGACTTGATCTCTTTGAAAGAGTAAGATACCAAATGCTTCTCCTTCTGGTTTGCCTGTCAATCTACATTACTACTAACATTACATCAATTAAAAACATATAAGAATTAAGTCAAAGAAGAAAAAAATCTAAATCTCTTCCTTTAAAAATGTAAAACAAGTGTATTTTATAATTACATTGTAAATATCATCTCCAGTGTGTTTGGAATTATATTCTTGAACCATTACTAATAATATCACTATGTGCCAGGAACTGTACATTGTATGTTTTAAACCAGTGTGGTGAAAGATTAGGAAATTAGCACCCACCTCCCAATTTGAGAGCATTGTATTATTTTTTTATATTGCCAAGATTTATAACATTATAATTTTGTTCTGGAACAATAGTTTCCACATTTGGATCTTAATGTTTACCATCAATAGTTTTACTAGGATTTCTCTGTTCTTTGTCTCACCTTCCATTTATCACTTGGTTGACTGACTTTGCATGTTCTCTTTATTTAAAGAATGTTTATGGACATTACATTCTCTAAAGTGTTCATGCGTATTTGCTCAACATGTTTGTGTGTGTAGATCTGAAAGAAATTATGACTAGCTATAAAATAGCTGCATCATGCCTGTGTTAGTTTACAAAGGCTGCCAGAACAAAGTACCACAAACTGTATGACTTAAACAACAGCAAATTTATTGCCTTACTGTTCTGGAGGCTAGAAGTCCAAGATCAAGGTGTTGGCAGAATTGGTTCCATCGAGGGCAGTGTGGGAGAGATCTGTCTCTTTCGTCTCTCCTCCTAGCTTGTAGATTGCCATCTTCGTGTATCTTCACTTTATCCTCCCAGTCTCTGTGTCTAAATTTCTCATTTTTATAAATATACCAGTAATTCCTGATTATTCCACCCTACAACCATACTTTAACATGATTACCTTTGTAACGACCTATCTCCAAATAAGGGCACAACTATGACGTACTAGGTATTAGGACTCAACATAAAAGTTTTGAGGAAACACAATTCAACAAAAAACAATACTTTTTTCTCTTAGAACTTCTCGTCTACTCTTTACTGGTGTTGAGTATATTTGTAAAGAAGTTTGAAGCTAGCCTCATTTTCCCCCTTATGCATAATTGTTTTAAGATGCCTAAAAAGTCCATCTTAACTTAAAGTCACTTAACCAGTATATGTCTGGGAATTTCTAAGTCTGTATAATATTTTCCCCAGGACAGTTTTCACTTTTGATTTTCAGACTAGTTTTTACTTCAGGATTTTTTTTTTTCCTGTTAGAGCTTTGAAAAAAATAACCCTTTATTGCAGTTCTGTTTCTTCTTCAGGAACACCTGTTATGCATTTGCTAGATCTCTTTTGTCTCTCGTATCAGTCATCTCTCAGGTAAATTTTTTATGGTACCTTTTTATGTTGCTTTATACACGTTTTCAAGACAACTATGACTATTTTTTTTCTTTGTGCTTATTAGTCTGTATTTTATGACTAATGAGGCTTTGATCTCTAATTTGTTTTTATCTTTTTTGTCCCAAGCCCTGCCATTTTGCTTATATCATTGTCTAAAATGTTGTCTATTGGTTTAAAATATCTCCTTTGAGCTCTTTTTTAGAGATCATGTTATTATAATTTCTTTAAATTTCAAAAGATTTATATTTATCTGAACTTTTCCATTATTTTCTGTAGTCATTTCTCATCTTTTTCTTCAACCTTTTGCTTTCTCCTTGACGGTGTTGGAGAGGATGAAAAGAGGTGGTATCCGTGCTTAAGTCACTTGCTTTTCCTTCCCATCTTTACTTATCTTTAAATGAGGTCAGCTGTTTATTGATATACGAAGTGCGAGAAGCAGGCTGTTGTCTCAGACATCGTACTGCTAAGTCTGTCATGTCTCCTGCTTGAGGTGCTCTTCCCTCAGCTTTCAACATTCCGGAGATTATTTTGGCTCCTGCTGAAGTCCCTTTTATCACAGGTTTTCTGGTTTGGGATATAGTTGGAAATTGCTAATTCCCTTTACACCTTCAACCTGCTTCACCTCTAGCAGCTTTGCTCAGCTATCAGGCAAGGTAGTAGACAACAAAAATGGTGAAAACATTTCTCCTTCAATTTTACCTCCACTGCTATTAGGTAGTGTAAAATTGAATCTCTGAGGTACTCCCTTCTTCTGCCTTGACCTGATGCACCCCTACACTTGAGACTCATAACAAATCTTTTTAATAGGTCTTTCAGAACACTGAACTTTAAGAACATGTGTATCATGTTTGATGTCTGAGGAGGCTTCAAAATACTTTCTTGTATTGGTCCAGATTGCATTGCATTTGACAGACATTCTATGTTGTGGTTTGGGGATCATGGGCATTTCCTTGTTTAATTGATGATGGCATTTAAAAAATTTGTCTTTTGTTCTTTTTGTTGTTTTTCTGGTTTTCAAGGAGTGAGGTATTATCTTTTAGCCAGAATTGACTCTTGGCATTAAACCGTGTTCTTACACTGACACCAGATAGTTTATCATCAGGTTATATTCACTATTTAGTGGAATCTAATAAGATTTTTCTGGAAATACTGCTTATGTTAGCTTATAGCTTGTACTATTAATTTCTATAATATTTCCATACAAAATGATACGCATGCTTTCAGTTTAATATTGTTGCTGGTAGAAAGTATAGTCTAATATATATTAATGGGTAGAGTGGGGTGGTTTGTATTTCAAGTGTTTTTTCTCTAAAATTAAAAAAATGCAGCTTATTCTTGTAATTTTTATAATTAGGTTTCCTAAATTTACATAACTGGAAAAAATATATATGTATATGTTAGCATCATCTCTCACATATTTCAAAGGCTATTTCCCCCTTCATTTTTAGAATTTAGCTTTCCCTTCTACTTCTCAAAGTAGAAACCACTGTATTGAAACCAATTCAGCCTTCAGTCCCCAACATACAAACTTACATGAATCGTATGATCATGTTTTGCTTCTTACATTTTTTTATTGACTTTCAGTCTTGTCCAAGGTTGTTCCTGCCTCTTTGCTCTGGAAATTATCGCTTCCCTTTTTCTCACAGCACTCATTCCTATTAACCTTTTTTTCCTTTTATATTTTAAGCCTTTTTCCTTCTGCTAGTTCATAACTTCACTACTTACTAGGGTGGTACTTTATGTACTTACTTAACCCTTCACAGTCTTGAGTTTCATAATTTGTTAAGTGAGGGCATCAGGAAAATCTGTTTTGCAGGATTGATGATTAGAGTTGTGCATACAAAGTTCTTTGTATAGTGCCTAGCACCTGGTAAGAGGCAATTATTATTCTGGGACACATCCCACCACCAATGCCTTAATTCTCTTCAACATTTCAAAGCCAGGCTTGAAAAAGTAGTCTATATTCAGCATTTCTACTATCTCATAACCCATTCACCCCTCACCTGCGGAGTCTGTTACATTTACTTTTCAGATGAAACTGCCTTCAATAAGGTCCTCAATGACTCCGTAATTGCCATATACTTTCCTTCCTTCTTAATCTTTTCTGACCTCTCAGAGTTACTGGGCATACTTCTTGAAATTCTTCCTACTCTGCTTTCCACAATACTGCTCTCTTCTGCAAATCCTTTTCCCTCCTTGTATTTTGCTTTGTAAGCTGATCTGCTCCCCATAATTTCATATTTGATTCTCCATTCTTTCACCCTACATACTCACTCTGATGTTATCATACCTATATCTGTAGCCCCAGTCTCGCTCTTTAGTTTTAGATCTGCACATTCAGTACAATGATAGCCACTACCCACATGTGGCCATTGAGCACCTGAATGTGGCTAGTCTGAATTGAGGTGTGTTGTAATTCCAAAATACACACTAAGTTTTGAAGACATAGTATGAAAAAGAGTGTAAAATTTATGAGTAATTTTATATTAACTACACATTGATATGTAGTATTTCATATATATTGGTTTAAACAAAATATATTAATAAAAGTTCGTTTCACATTTTACTTTTCTAAAATGACCACTGGAAAATTTTAAATAACATGTGGCTTACATTGTATTTCTATTGGGCAGTGCTGCTCTAGAGCCATCTAGCTTTTTATCAACTGTATACTTCTACTAGAAGTCCTACAAATACCTCAGATTTTATGTTACAACCTAACTTCTTTCCTTCAGCCTCCTCACATACAATTACATAAATATCACATGTGCTTTTCTTGTATTTTCATATTTTAATGAATCATACCACTGTGGGACAAGCCACAGATCTGCTTTACATGACCTGTCCCACCTGTTACTCTACTGCCTCATCTTTCAGCTGTCTTTTAGTGTATAATCTTCCTTCCAGCTGTACCAACCAATCAAATCTCCCAGATGAGATGTGGTCTTAGCTGCCTCTGCCTTTGTACATACTATTTCCACCTTCTTTCTCTAATTCTTCAAATTCAGGCATCAACTACTCTAGAAAACAACGTCCCCAGATTTCTTAGCTAAGTAGTTCTTTTCTTTTCTCCCATGCATTCCTATACATGTCTCATAGGACTTATGGTGATTGTGACTATTTGTCCCTGATCAGTCTCTAAGTTAAAGATAGGGAATATGTTTTTCATCTGTGTTTCTCCATTGTGTAGCAAACTGCCTACTATATTATAATGCTGAAAAAATATTTTGAGTTAATAAATGAAAGGCAATACATTTTTTTCTTTCTTTTTGTAATAGCCTTATTATTATCATGGAGTTCAAGCAACATATCACCAGGTTTATGCTCCAGGTGCCATTGGTGTGCCTGCACCTGTGATGCAGCCTGAACCAATTAAAGTAAGAAGTTTGTTTTGTTTTTGTTTTTTCCAGTCTTATTTCAAGTTTTACAAATTTCCTTTCTGGAAAGGAACAACTTTTGATATTTATATCATGTTTATGATCAGAAGTGAATTCTTTTGTGTGGAGGAAATACAATTCTAAATTAACTAAATATCCTATTAGTTTCAAAAAAGTTATAAACCGGAGATCATGGGAAGATGGCAGCGTGAGTAGTTCAGTGGAAATCTCCTCCTAAAAACATATATATTTATGAAAATATAATAAATACAACTATTCCTAAAAGAGACACCACTGGATGCAGTACAACAGCCAGGATACATCTACATCTGTGAGAACTCAGCATCACACGAAGGGGGTAAGATAGAAGCCGTGGCCAGGCGGGACCCAAATGCTCCCCCACCCCAGAACCCAGCGGGAAGAAAGGAGTCAGAACGGGGAGGGAGTGAAAGCCCAGGACTGCTAAACAACCAGCTCTAGAAATCTGCAACCAGAGAGCAGACACAAGGTGCACGGGGTGCTGGATATTAGAGAAACAGAAAGCAAAACCTGCGGGCAGGTCCCCGCAACTGGCGCACCTAAGACAAAACAAAAGAGTGCTTTTTGCAAATCTTAAAGAGACAGGGACCCCACAGCTGGATGAAGTCATCCCGGCACACTTAGCCAGCAGCTGGGAATCCCAGGGAAATTTAGGCGCCCTAAACCCCTGGGCGGCAGCGCAGCTCTGAAGCCCCTCATGGCACTAAGCAGCCTGCCAGTCATTCCCCCAACTGGCACGGACCCCGACACACTGGCCCAGTAGTGGGAGAGTGGCAGCACGCTGGAGGTGGTGGCGCTGGAGGGGACCAGGAGCAGCTCATGTGAGCCCACCATGGCGGCAAGTGAACAGCCCAGGAGTGGTGCGCGCACACCAGTGGCAGCGACGCCAAAGGAGCCCAGTAGAGGCTCATGCGGGAGAGGCCCGTGCATACCTGCAGTGGTGCTAGAGGGAGCAGCCACACTCCCAGCACCTGACCAGAATTCCAGCCTGATGCACAGCCGCCCGGGCCAGACCCAAAGGCCACTGCTGGCACACAGCTGCCTGGCAGGGGCGCCACTATTGCAGAGGAGCGCACCTGACATGCCTGCCACTCCCCGCAGGGCTCCACGCTGCGTTGACGGAGACCCTGCCCACAGCAGCTTAGGGGATTAACCCGGTGGCTGCTCCAGGAGTGTGAGTAACCGACACAGGCAGCGGAGAAGGGCAAGACATCCAGCAAGCAGGAAAGAACTTTCCCAGCTGACACACCCGCAACCTGCCTACAGCCACCGCTATCACAATGAAAAGGCAAAAAAATTTAGTCCAGTCCAAAATAGTTCAGACAACCCCTGAGAGAGATCAGCAAAGATACATCTAACCAGTCTCCCTGAAAAAGAATTCAAAATAAAAATCATAAACATGCTGACAGAGCAGCAGAGAAATATACAAGAGCTAAGAGATGACATCCGGAGTGAGATTACAGGAATGAAACAATCTCCAGAAGGATTTACAAGCAGAATGGATAAGATGCAAGAGGCCATTGATGGAATAAAAACCAGAGAGCAGGAACGCATAGAAGTTGATGCAGAGATAGATAAAAGGATCTCCAGAAATGAAACAATATTAAGAGAACTGTGTGACCAATCGAAAAGGAACAATATCCGCATTAAAGGAGTACCAGAAGAAGAAGAGAGAGAAAAAGGGATAGAAAATGTCTTTGAAGAAACAATTGCTGAGAACTTCCCCAAACTGGGGGAGGAAATACTTGCTCAGGCTATGGAAGCACACAGAAATCCCAAAAGAAAGGACCCAAAGAGGACCACAACAAGACACATAATAATTAAAATGGCAAAGAACAAGGACAAAAATAGTAAGATAGTAAAGAAGCTAACCTTGAACCTTTGGTAACCACAAATCTAAAGCCTACAATGAGAATAAGTACATATCTTTCAATAATCACCCTAAATGTAAATGGACTGAATGCACCAATCAAAAGACACAGAGTATTAGAATGGATAAAAAAGCAAGATCCGTCCATAAGCTGCTTACAAGAGACTCACCTCAAACCCAAAGACATGCACAGATTAAAAGTCAAGGGATGGAAAAAGATATTTTATGCAAACAACAGGGAGAAAAAAGGTATTGCAATACTAGTATCAGACAAAATAGACTTCAAAACAAAGAAAGTAACAAGAGATAAAGAAGGACATTACATAATGATAAAGAGCTCAGTCAAACAAGAGGATACAACCATTATAAATATATATGCACCCAACACAGGAGCACCAGCATATGTGAAACAGATACTAACAGAACTAAAGGATGAAATAGAATGCAATGCATTCATTTTAGAATGAAAAAAGCAGGTATAGCAGTACTAGTATCAGACAAAATAGACTTCAAAACAAAGAAAGTAACAAGAGATAAAGAAGGACATTACATAATGATAAAGGGCTCAGTTCAACAAGAGGATATAACCATTATAAACATATATGCACCCAATACAGGAGCACCAACATATGTGAATCAAATACTAACAGAATTAAAGGAGGAAATAGAATGCAATGCATTCATTTTGGGAGACTTTAACACACCACTCACTCCAAAGGACAGATTCACCAGAGAGAAAATAAGTAAGGACACAGAGGCACTGAACAACACACTAGAACAGATGGACCTAATAGACATCTACAGAACTCTACATCCAAAAGCAACAGGATACACATTCTTCTCAAGTGCACATGGAACATTCTCCAGAATAGACCACATACTAGGCCACAAAAAGAGCCTCAGTAAATTCCAAAAGATTGAAATCCTACCAACCAACTTTTCAGACCACAAAGGTATAAAACTAGAAATAAATTGTACAAAGAAAGCAAAAAGGCTCACAAACACATGGAGGCTTAACAACATGCTCCTAAATAATCAATGGATCAATGACCAAATTAAAATGGAGATCCAGCAATATATGGAAACAAATGACAACAACAACACAAAGCCCCAACTTCTGTGGGACGCAGCAAAAGCAGTCTTAAGAGGAAAGTATATAGCAATCCAGGCATATTTAAAGAAGGAAGAACAATCCCAAATGAATAGTCTAATGTCACAATTATCGAAATTGGAAAAAGAAGAACAAATGAGGCCTAAGGTCAGCAGAAGGAGGGACATAATAAAGATCAGAGAAGAAATAAATAAAATTGAGAAGAATAAAACAATAGCAAAAATCAATGAAACCAAGAGCTGGTTCTTTGAGAAAATAAACAAAATAGATAAGCCTCTAGCCAGACTTATTAAGAGAAAAAGAGAGTCAACACACATCAACAGAATCAGAAACGAGAAAGGAAAAATCATGACGGACCCCACAGAAATACAAAGAATTATTAGAGAATACTATGAAAACCTATATGCTAACAAGCTGGAAAACCTAGGAGAAATGGACAACTTCCTAGAAAAATACAACCTTCCAAGACTGACCCAGAAAGAAACAGAAAATCTAAACAGACCAATTACCAGCAACGAAATTGAATCGGTAATCAAAAAACTACCCAAGAACAAAACCCCCGGGCCAGATGGATTTACCTCAGAATTTTATCAGACATACAGAGAAGACATAATACCCATTCTCCTTAAAGTTTTCCAAAAAATAGAAGAGGAGGGAATACTCCCAAACTCATTCTATGAAGCCAACATCACCCTAATACCAAAACCAGGCAAAGACCCCACCAAAAAAGAAAACTACAGACCAATATCCCTGATGAACGTAGATGCAAAAATACTCAACAAAATATTAGCAAACCGAATTCAAAAATACATCAAAAGGATCATACACCATGACCAAGTGGGATTCATCCCAGGGATGCAAGGATGGTACAACATTCGAAAATCCATCAACATCATCCACCACATCAACAAAAAGAAAGACAAAAACCACATGATCATCTCCATAGATGCTGAAAAAGCATTTGACAAAATTCAACATCCATTCATGATAAAAACTCTCAGCAAAATGGGAATAGAGGGCAAGTACCTCAACATAATAAAGGCCATATATGATAAACCCACAGCCAGCATTATACTGAACAGCGAGAAGCTGAAAGCATTTCCTCTGAGATCGGGAACCAGACAGGGATGCCCACTCTCCCCACTGTTATTTAACATAGTACTGGAGGTCCTAGCCACGGCAATCAGACAAAACAAAGAAATACAAGGAATCCAGATTGGTAAAGAAGAAGTTAAACTGTCACTATTTGCAGATGATATGATACTGTACATAAAAAACCCTAAAGACTCCACTCCAAAACTACTAGAACTGATATCGGAATACAGCAAAGTTGCAGGATACAAAATTAACACACAGAAATCTGTAGCTTTCCTATACACTAACAATGAACCAATAGAAAGAGAAATCAGGAAAACAATTCCATTCACCATTGCATCAAAAAGAATAAAATACCTAGGAATAAACCTAACCAAAGAAGTGAAAGACTTATACTCTGAAAACTACAAGTCACTCTTAAGAGAAATTAAAGGGGACACTAATAAATGGAAACTCATCCCATGCTCATGGCTAGGAAGAATTAATATCGTCAAAATGGCCATCCTGCCCAAAGCAATATACAGATTTGATGCAATCCCTCTCAAATTACCAGCAACATTCTTCAATGAATTGGAACAAATAATTCAAAAATTCATATGGAAACACCAAAGACCCCGAATAGCCAAAGCAATCCTGAAAAAGAAGAATAAAGTAGGGGGGATCTCACTCCCCAACTTCAAGCTCTACTACAAAGCCATAGTAATCAAGACAATTTGGTACTGGCACAAGAACAGAGCCACAGACCAGTGGAACAGATTAGAGACCCCAGAAATTAACCCAAACATATATGGTCAATTAATATTTGATAAAGGAGCCATGGACATACAATGGCAAAATGACAGTCTCTTCAACAGATGGTGCTGGCAAAACTGGACAGCTACATGTAGGAGAATGAA